GGCGGCGCCCGCGGCGCGGCCGCCGCCGCTGGCGCCGCGGCCGTCGGGGGCCGCCCGGGGCTGAAGGGACGGGGGTCAACCCAGAGATCCAGCCTATTGAAAAAATCAAGACGCAGGTTTTTCGTAATTTTCGACCTCCAGAGGCCCTCGCCGGGCCTCGGGGCCGTCAAAAAACGACTCAGGATGAAAAACCGGTCCCGGGGAGGGGGTCCAGACCTCTGGGGGTCGCGTCGTGAAAAAATCACGACGTCGGGGGTCTGGGAATGCAAGCGGGGGTCAGCCAGAGCGCCCGATCTTGCAGGATGCTGCAGGGCCAGGGTCGCATTGACCGGGGCTTGGGTGCAGGCGCCTGCAGGATCTTGCAGGATCTTTCGCACCGACCTGGGTTTGGGTGCTGCAGGATCCTGCACGGGATCCTGCAAGGTTTGACTGACCCAGGTCTGGATTTGCCCGGGTCAGAAGACCCCCGAGGCCGCGACCTCGTTGCCTCGGGCGGAGGTGGGGGGGCCCTGAAATCCTGGCGTCGTGCTGTTTTTGCAGTGCCAGACATGCTCGCGTCCTGAGAAAATCAGGGCGAGAGGTTTCGGGCCGCTTTGGGCCCCTCGGGGCCCGCACCAGGACCTCGGGACCGTCAGCGAAACGACTCAGGACGAAGAACCTTGTCCCGGGAAAAGGGTCGGGACTTCAGGGGACCCCGTATTGAAGACATCGGGACATCGCATGCGTGGGAGTCGCGAATTTGCCTTCTTTCCAGCGCTAGGGCCATCACAGATCGGTCCGGCTCGACAAATGGCGCAGACGAATGAGCTCCAGGGCTCTGGTGTGCTTTTTCGCGATGCTGCATTGCTCCCCACCATCCTGTGGTGTTGGGTCCTTGTTTTGAAGAGAGCGCCCCGCGTCTCACTCCTCTCCTCCCCCCCATCCTCCATCCTCCCACTCCGCGTCCTCATCGTCATCGTCATCATCATCGTCATTAACACCATCAACGTCATCACCATCGGCATCATCGTCGTCATCACCATCCGCATCGGCATCGTGCTTCCTGCTCTCCGCTTGTGCACCATTTCGGCACACTCCTCACACGATTCGTGGCCTCATAGGGCGATCCTTCGAAGGCAGTGGCAGGGTTCGCATGCGTCCGACGCCCAATTTGGCATACCCCACACAGTTCGTGGCCCTATAGGGAGCGCCACCAGAAGCCGCAGTGGCAGGGTTCGCATGCGCCCGACGCCCATTTTGGCACACCCCTCACACGGTTCGTGGCCCCATAGGGAGCTTCACCGAAGGTCCTAGTGGCAGGGTTCGCGTGTCCCCGACGCCCGTTTTAATCCAATCCTCACGCGGTTCGTGGCGCCATATGCAGCTCCACCGAAGGTCCTAGTGTCAGGGTTCGCATGCGCCCGACGCCCATTGTGGCGCACCCCTCACACGGTTCGTGGCCCCATTGGGAGTTCCACCGAAGGCACCAGTCAGGGTTCGCATGCGCCCGACGCCCACTTTGGCACACCTCTCACACGGTTCGTGGCCCCCACGGGAGTTCCACCGAAGGTCCCAGTTGCAGGGTTCGCATGCGCCCGACGTCCATTTTGTCACACCCCTCACACAGTTCGTTGCCCCATCGGGAGCTCCACGGAAGGCCTCAGTGGCAGGGTTCGCATGCGCCCGACGCCCATTTTGGCACACCGCTCATATGGGTTGTGTCCCCATGGGCCCATGGGGAGCTCCACCGCAGTCCTTTTGCTGGCGCCACTCCTTGATTTCACCTGCCCCGCGATGCTCGCAGCTGCATGCCCATCGGTCGTTGAAAGTAGGTATTTTAGGAGTCCCAGATTCCAATCTACTTTAAGCGCCTTCCTACTTCAATGATTGAGTGGCTTCACCTTTTTCGTCCTCTTTAGGGGGTGGGCGGACACCCAATCTGCTTTCAACGCCTTCCTAATTACTCCATGCTACTACATACGTCTTCCGACCGATGGTTATGGCTGGGTTCTTCGTCACGCTGATTTTCACAGCGTCGGAGTTCAGGGGAAGAGGACGCCTTCCCAGGCATGCTCGCGTCGCACAAAATCACGAGGGGAGGTTTGTGGGACGTTTTTCCTGTCTCCAAGGGGCATTCACAAGGCCCCGAGACCGCCAACAAATGGCCTGCAGGATTGAGACCAGGTCCTTGGGAAGGAGTCTTAACTTCCACGGGCCTCACATTCCAAGACCCCTCGAGTCATGAACGAATCACGACGGGAGTTATTTTGCTATTTTCGGCCTCTGGGGGCCTCTAGCGGGCGTCCGGACCGTCAGCCAACGACTCATTATGAACAATTTGTCCCGGGGAACGGGTCGAGACCTCTGGGGGTCGACGTTATGACAACATCACGACGTCGAGGGCTTGGGTTGGAAAATTGCAGACGTCGCATGTCTGGATTTGGGACTCTTTGGTTCCGAAGAGGAAGAGTTGTCCATACCGCTGCTCTTATGCAGAGCCTTCGGAAGCAGGAGAACCCGTTCACTCCAAACAGTCGCCTGTGCCAGATGTCCACGCTGGTGTCCATCTGCAACTCGAGTTTAGCGGCCGTCGCCGTCATGGTACTTGCTTAAATTTTTTTTTGAAGAGCGGTCCGCGCACCTTCAACGAAGTCCTGATCCGTGCTTTGGTACATGGCAGTCGCAACAGAAAATCATGCCGCAAGCTGTTGGTCCAGCTCTGGTCCCATCGTAGGCCACGTAGGATGCGAAACAGAGGTGGGCATCCGTTATACATTCTTGGCTCTTGGCAGCAGTCTCAGTCTGTCGATTTGCAACGTTGTATCTAGGGAGGGCCGGTCGATTATGTGAAGAGCGTTCACCGTAGATGCTAGATGCGTTCTCTTCAACACAAGTTGCCCTTCCATAGTTGGGTGCCGCACGGTAGATCGCAAGCTCGTTCGTGCGATGTTGGTACGCAGCGTATTGGAGGCGAGGGTGCCAAGTGCACGCGGCGAAGAGACGTCTCGAGCCTGCATAGGTTTCGTTCTGCCTGACCTTCTTCCGCAAGTCCAGAGTGCTCCGTTTGGCATGGCCCGACTCGATTATTTCTCTGCTCCAGGGCCGATCTAGAAGTTCGAACCTCTTGGCATGTGTTTCAGGCATGCCCCCCCTTTCTGTCCATAACGCGAGCTCCCAGGACCATGTGAGAACACGTAACGGAAGTACGAACGTGATGCTGCTCGCTCTCCAAGAAGGCACCCACAGCTCCGTGGAACGCTTTTGTCAGAGCTCTGACACCACCCCATGAAAGGACAACAGCGCCATCGTTTCGCCAAAATTGATACGGCACTCATGCGTCGAGGCTTGCACGTGGAACGCAGATATTGTCTTGGCAAGGATCGTAGTCCTTTCCACGAGTTCGTTTCACCCCCTTCCTCCGCCTCGTTCGCCCCGCTCTTCTTGCCCCTCCTCCTTCTCCTCAGAGCTGACAAACAAACAACACAGAACAAAAAGCATGCCATCGCCTCCTCATTATCAGTGGCTGACGCTGATTGCCGACAGCGACACCGCCTTCGCACAGTACCAACACTTGGGGCGGGGGGGAGATGAGGAGGAGGAGGAGGAGGAGGAGGAGGAGGAGGAGGAGGAGGAGGAGGAGGGGGAGGTAAGGTGAGAGGAGGTGGAGAGGGAGCGGGAGGAGGAGGAGGAGGAGGCGGAGGCGGAGGCGGCAGGAGGAGGTCGCGACTCAGGCGGACCCGCAGACGGGAGGAGGAGCGCTCGGAGGAGAGAGGTGGAGGAGGATGGAGGATAGAGTAGAGCTGGAGGAGGAGGAGGAGGAGGGGGAGGCCGAGTTTGAGGAGGAGGAGGCGGAGGAGGGAGAGGTGCAGGAGGAGGCGGAGGCCGAGGAGGAGGATGACGACGGCGATGGAGGAGGAGGAGTAGGAGGAGGAGGAGGATGAGGAGGAGGAGGAGGAGGAGGAGGAGAGCAGAGTGCCACCCCGTGCTTCGCACCTGGCTGCACATGTTCAGGTCTCTCGGCGGGGCAAGGGCGCCTCCCGGGGCTGCGCTTCCGGTGCAGACTCGGGACGGGCTGCCCCGAGCCGCGAAGAAGGCAGCACGGAAGGATGCTGAGGACGGAGCGGGGCAGCTGGAAGGAGCGGGGGCACCCACCGACAGAGGGCCTCCGACGGCAGAGGTCGAGGTTCTCAAGGGGAGCCTGGCCGAGTTGGGGCGCGCCAGTGTGCGTTCTCTGGGCGGGCTCGCGCCACGGATCCCCGCGCCCCTCTGGAGGAGGAGGAGGAGGAGGAGGAGGAGGAGGAGGAGGAGGAGGAGGAGCGTGGCACAGCGGAGTCCAGGTGTCGAGGGGGAGATGCCCGAAGTGTTTGGTTTTGATTTTATTGACGGCCTGTGGGAAGAGAGGTTGGTGACCCCGTCCAGCTCCTCACGCATTTCGCCCTCGAGCTGCCCACGCTGACTGGCCAAGGTATCGGTTGAGACATGTTTTGTTGTGAGAGGCAGGTGGCATTTCTGGGCGCCCGAAATGGGTACGGAAAGACTGGGTACAATGCCCAGCAGCAATTCCTGCTCATTTTGAACAGGACTCGCTGTCCACGCCGCCACGGCCTGTGTCCATTCGAGACTGAAGGCCGCCTGCCCAACAGCGGCCGCTGTTGGTTTTGGACAACATCTGCTGTTGGGCATAGTACCCATTCTTTCCGTACCCATTTTGGGCGTCCAAAGCATTGACATTTGCTTCAGCTGAGTACGAGTACGGGGAGCAACAGAGACGAGCTCGTCGGCGAGGCGCTGCTCCCAACTTGCATCCCCCCTTCACCAGACCCCCGACGTCTGACGTTGACCCCCGGAAGTCTCGACCCCTTCCCCAGGACTGGGCCCGGCGAGGGCCCCCTGAGGCCTAAAATCGCACCAAGCCTGTTGGCCCCATACTTTCAAGGCGCGGGCACGCCTCGGCTCCCAGCTTGCAGCCCCCCTCTCCTGGGCCGCCCCTGCGTCTTCTCCTTCCTCGCCCGAGGCGCGGTGCCCGGCGGACGCCGGGAGGGCGCCCCGGGCGCGGACGCGGCGGGCGCGGACGCCGCGCGGAGGCAGCTCGAGAGCGCCCAGGGCTCGCTCCGGAGCGCGCTGTGCATGCAGCAGCCGGTGGGCACTGCGGTGGAGGAGGCGCTCAGGCGGGCGCCCCCTGCGCTCCGTGCGCGAGCCGCTGCGAATCGACGCCCCGGGTCGGTCGGCGAATGCTATACGTAAGTCGTCGGGCTTGGCCCTCTACAGGAGGAATATTCAAACATAGTCAAACAATAGTCTGGTGAATTTTTTTTTGCATATTTTCAAACCATTTTGGAGCATTTTTTGAATTTTTTTGTTCCCCCTCATTTTTCGTCGAAAATCCCCGTGTAGGGGGACACGCCCGACTCAATGCCATACCCTGTGCACACCAGGCGGTCGTCGAGGAAGGAAGGAGCAGCCTCATAAACATACTCTCCAGAGCTCCGCGCGAAGTCCCTAGAGCGGCGCCAGCAGCCCCCTGGGTGGCGCCCTCGGCGCCGCCCCTGGCGCCGAGGGGCGCGCCGGGGCGGGGGGGCCAGCGCCGATCCGAGAGGTCCGCGCGGACCTCCGACAGTTTATGCCTCTGTTGCTCCGTGCCTCGAGGTCGGCACCGCGGTGGGGCAGACGCTCTCTGTGAGGCTTTCCGTGTGCGGGCCGCCACGAGCCAACGCCTCGGGTCGGGCGACGAGACCTCTGCACACACCCGGCCCCGCTGGCCAGGCGCCCCCCCCCCCCCCGGGCCCAGGATCGAGGCATCTGCCTCCCCGTCGCCCCGGCAGGAGGGGCTATCTTGGCCAATAAAGGTAATTGAAATGACTCAGAAGGATTGATGCATATGATACCTCACAAAAATGGTTCGATGTCAAGATAGAGACAAAAAACAGACAACAGAATTGATGTCTAACCCATACTTCTAAGGAGAGAGAGACATAGATGCTGATATAGAGTTGTTGGTGTGGGGTGGGTCCCCCCCTCCCCCCCCCCCCCCCCCGTGGGCGGAGCGGGAGGGGCGGGCACGCAGAGAGGGTGGGGGGGTAATGGGGGAAGGAAGAGTGTGGACAAGGAGGTAGGAGGAGAGGAGTAGGAGGAGAGGGAGGGGTTGGAGGAGGATGAGGAGGAGGAGAGGGGGGAGGGGGAGGCGGAGGAAGACGAGAATGAGGAGGAGGAGGAGGAGGAGGAGGAGGAGGAGTAGGAGGAGGAGGAGGAGGAGGACACGGTGCATTCCGATTCCGCCGTTTCGATTCGAATCGATTTCCGCGATTCCGATTTGGAACCGACTCGATTCCGGGATTCCGATTCGCGATTCCGATTTCGAGTTCGCCCGATCCGGCTTCTGCCGATTCGATGCGTCAGCCGATTCTTGCCGGCTTTTGACGATCCGGCTTCGCTCCGGCTCTGGCCCCCAAGGGGAGGAGGAGGAGGGAGGAGGAACCCCCAGGGGGGAGCCCAAACATCCCAAACCCCCCCAGGGGGAGGTTTTCCAAAAGCTCTGGGACCCCACCCCCCCCCAGGGAGAGGTTTTCCCCAAACCCCGGGACCCCAACCCCCCCCCCAGGGGGGGGGGTCCAAAAGCCCCAGGACCCCACGGTTTTTTTTTGTTTTCCAAAAGCCTCAGGACCCCCCCCCCCCAGGGGGGGGTCCAAAACCCCCGGGACCCCAAACCTCCCCCAGGGGGGTGGTTTTCCAAAAGCCCCGGGACCCCAAACCCTCCCCAGGGGGGGAGAGGGTCCAAAAGCCCGGGGACCCCAAACTCCCCCCAGGGGGGGGGGTCCAAAAGCCCCGGGACCCCCAACCCCCCCCAGGGGGGTGGTTTTCCAAAAGCCCCGGGACCCCCCCGAACCCCCCCCAGGGGGAGGGTCCAAAACCCCCGGGATCCCCCCCCCCCCCCCCCCAAAAAGGTGGGGGTTTTCCAAAGCCCCGGGACCCCAAACCCCCCCCCTGGAGGAGGGGGTCCAAAAGCCCTGGACCCCATAACCCCCCCACTGGGGGGTCCCCCCCCCCCCCCCTCCCCCGGGGGGGGGGGGTCCGATTTCGATTCCGATCCGGACCTGCCGACCTCAGCCGATTTCGATTTGGCTGCCGGCTTTTGCCGATTTCTTCCGATTCGATGCTCCGGTCGACCTGATCGGGCTTATCGATTCGATGCTGGGGCCGCCTGGGAGGAGGAGGAGGAGGAGGAGGAGGAGGAGGAAGGAGGAGGAGGAGGAAGAGGTGGACGTCCGCTTAGCCTCGCTGCCTTGGGCGGGTCCGCGCCGGTGGCATTCTGCTGCAACACAGCGACAGTACAGTCCAAACCGATGGCAAGTTGGATCGACTCTATGGGCCTCCTGGGAGGCCCTCGTCGCCACCGCTGGATTTGCTTCGAAATCATGCTTCGAACGCACCCCAGGAGAGGTCTGGGGATCGGCGGGATCGGTACCTTTTGGTTTCCCCCAGGATCGGGGAACAAGAATTGGATGGCATACACTACCGATGATAAGGACGGGTAACTTTCCCAAGGGTATCCTTGAATCCCTGCCTCTTCCGTCATCTTCGGTCCGTCCTCATCCACTTTCGATGGTCAGCCCCGCTCGAAAATCTTAGGCATGGCCTTTCAAGGCCCCTGCATCCTTGTCGTGCATCCTTAATACCAGTTTCGATTGTGCACGTGTACAGTCGAGCATCTGATTAAGAAACCTGCTCCCGAAAATCTGGGCCAGGGTTTCGACCAGCTTGCCGGAAGGCTGGCCCAGTTCCTCGAGCACGTTCGCCCCTCCAGCTTGGACAACAGAAGTTGCCCAGGCTCGCTTCAGGAAATTCCCGGGGAGCTGACCCCTTACTCGAAGGGTGTTCGCGGCCATACCTTAAGCTGTGTTGTCTCTGTGATGGTGTTCAGGAGAGGAACAAATACACAGACACAATTAGTCGTCGATTCCCCAGAAAATATGGGAAAATAATATGGGAAGTGGGGGGGGGGGAAGGCAAAAGCCCAGAACATATGAGAAAATATGAGGAATATGTTTAATGCTGTGTATGTATTTGTGTGTCCTGGGGCACCTTCAGATGTGTGTGTGTGTGTGCACTGTGCTGTAGCTGCTGTGACTCCTCTGTTCGCCTCCTCCCCTCCTGCTGCCCCTCCCCCTCTGGCTCGCTCGCGTGGGTCCCGGTGCGCGCGCCGCGGCCTGAAGGCCTCCTCCTCCTCCTCCTCCCTCCCTCCTCCTCCTCCTCCTCCTCCTCCCCATCCTCCCTCCTCCCTCCTCTCCTCCTCTCCTCCTCCCTCCTCTCCTCCTCCTCTCCTCCTCCTCCTCCTCCTCTCCGCCCTCCTCCTCCTCCTCCTCCTCCTCCTCCTCCTCCTCCTCCTCGTCCTCGTCCTCCTCCTCCTACTCTACGCCTACTCTTCTCCTGCACCTCCTCCTCCTCCTCCTCCTCCTCCTCCTCCTCCTCCTCCTCCTCCTCCTCCTCCTCCTCCTCCCCCCCTTCCAGGGAGGAGGGAAGGCCCGGGCCCTCGTCCTGCTTCGCCTCTTCGCCCTGTTCCTTCCCCTCTGGGCAGTTTGACCGTCTGTTGGACTTTGCGTACCTTGCAGTCTCGTGCCTTTTTGCCGTCGGCTCGCCTCGCTTTGTCTTCCCGCTGGCCCAGTACCCTGGCTTCCTCTTGGAGGCGGCACGCGGTGTCGAGAGGTCACCGGTCATCCGCCCGCTCCTCTGTCTCGCGCTGCGGCGCAGCATGGTTGCGGCGATGTGCAGTGCTCGAAGGTGGAAGCAGATGTCGCCGCGCCGTTTGTTCCGACGCGCGGCCGTACGTTTTGGGAAGGGCGCCGTGGCCGCTGGGGCACACTCCGCTTCGGTCGCAAGGCTCCCCGTGGGGTTCGCCGTGATGCCGGCTTCGTCTGCTTGGGCGCGTTCAGAGCAGACGGCGCGGCGACGGATGTGGTCGTTCGCGCTATGGGCAAATAAATATGTACATATAGTTGCACGATGGTGTAGTCGCAGGCGTAGAGAAATATAAACACATACTACGTGTTCATATTTGATGTGTCATTATTATTATCATTATTATCATTATTATTATTATTATTCATAATAATTATTATTATCATTATTATTATCATTATTAATATTATCATCATTATTAATATTATTGTTATTTTCATTATTATTAGTAGTAGTATTAGTATTAGTATTATTATTATTTTTATTACTATTATTATTATTATTATTGGTGTTTTTGTTTTTCTCTCTCTCTCTCTCTTTTCTGGTCTCTTCGCCGGTGGAGGGGGCGGTGGAAGCAAAATCGGCGGCGGCCCCTGGCGGCGGCATAGTACAAGTCGGGACATGCCGAGTGGTTTTGGCTCCCGGGCTGCCGGCACCCCGCCACAGCCGGCCGGCCACGCGCAGAGGGTGCCGGCAGAAGGCTTCGTAGACGCGCCCCTGCTTCTCAAATCGGGGGAGCGTAAGACCCGGGTTTGCTAGGACTCGGGTTCGCCATCGTTTTTTGACGACCGCGCCTCGGATTTTGACGAGGAGGAGTTTCGTGGGATGTCTGCAGCGGGAGGCCTCGTCAAAATGCAGGCTCGGCCTCGTCATTTTTTTGACGACCTCGTCGGGAATTTCCGAGTCCCCTGTACCCGGGTCTTACGCCCCCCTGATCAAAAGGCGCGGGCCTTGTCAGCAGATGCAAGGTCGGCGCTTTCTGAGGAGCAGCCTCCAGAGAAGCCTCCCCCCCTCCCCCTACCCCCTGGTTAAAACGACGCGAAGATCGGGACAAAATCGGATCGGGATAACTCGAAATCTCTGAGAATCGGCGGGTTTGGAGGATGTATTGGGCGCCGCGGCCGCTCCAGAGCGTTCCGGAGCGCTCTGAGAGCGCTCTGGAACGCTCTGGAGCGATTTATCCCGATCCTAGCCCTGTTTTAGCAGATGCACGGCCGGCGCTTTCCGAGGAGCAGCCTCCAAAGAAGCCCTCCCCCCTCCCCCTAATTACCCCCTGGCGCGCGCCGCCAATCCAAGGTGGGAGAAGAATCTCCCCCGCGCACGCTGCCACCCTCGGCAGAGGGGCAGCCTGCCGCAGGGCAGACGGAGAGATCGTGGACGTGCTGCGAATTTGCCGCCTCTGCGTTCGTCCTCCCAGTCCTCGCCCTCATGCAATCGCCGGATGTAGTGAAAGCTGCAGAGGCTGAGCTGCCCAACGAATACTCTCTGCTTCTTCCTCCGTCTGACGCTGTTCGGCCCTACGGTTGGCTGAAACCAGCAACTTGGCGTTGAGTAGCCGCATGCCCGCGAGCGATAACAAGAGCCTCCCCTGTTAGTCCCTGCGTCATGATTAGCGATGGGATAAGTATATTTCATACGAGGGCGGCGCGGCGAGGCCGAACTTGATTACCACCGGGGGAAGTACGAATCGTAATTGAGTTATCTCATCATGGGTATCCTTTGCTATCATCAGCAGCATCCTTTGCTATCATCATCACCCTCTCGTGGACCTCCATCCTGGCACACCCCTCGCACGGCTCGTGGCCCCATGTGGTGCCTGAGTGTTTTTTCTTGTGCATCGTGGTGAGCGTAGGACGCCTCTCCCTCCTTCTCTTCCTCCCTCCGCGCCCCAGCCGAACTTGTTGATCGCCGCCATTGGTTCTCACTCACGGGGAGCGACCATGAGCACTCGTACACGACGGGTAGAAGCCGCAAATTTTTGCTGTAGTTTACACATCGAACATGATGGGTCCGAATTTTGTTGTTTTTTGGGGAATCTCCTCCTCCCCCTTCCTCTCTTCTCGTCGTCCTTCTCATTGTTTTGCTTATACACCCCTCCCTCTCTTCCTTTTCTTCTGTGTTATTTCTCCTACTTATTTTCCTTGCCTTATCTGTTTCCTCCTCATCCTTCTACTCCCCCTCCCTTCCTCCCTCCGCGCTCCAGTTGACCTTTTGTATCGCCGTCATTGTTCATCACCCCCAGAGAGCAACCGTGAGTACTCCTACGCGACGAGCAGACAAAAACACCATAGAAATCGAGTAGACGTCCCACCCCATCCAGGAAAGGCCCCGGCAGAACCAATAGCGAGGAGGATTTCTCAGGCTTCGTGCTCCTACATCCGTACACCGTACATGCTTACATGCGATTTGCCGGGAAACTCTGTCATTATCCCCCCGGGGCCCCGAACTCTGTTATCCCAATGGTGTGATTATCATTGGCACAGGGTTACCGTGAGACATCGAACCCTCATGGTACTGGCGCTCCCCCCGATCCTCTCGGTCCTTCCTCTCTCCCTTCTCCCCGTCCCCGCCCCACTCATCGTCCCGGGACCCCCATACCTGCTTCCTGCCTCCACCTCCACGGAGGAGAGCGACGATGGAGCAGGACGATTGTTGAGGAGGGGGAGGAAGAGGACGACGACGACGATGTCGACAGAGGGGGCAGGACGATTGGGAGGAGGAAGGAGGAGGACGTGGAGGAGTAGGAGGAGCAAGAGCAGGAGGAGGAGGAGGAAAGGTGGAGGAGCAGGAAGACGACGACAATATAGGAGGAATCTGGACGGAAAAGACGATGCAGGACGACGAGGATTTCGACATAGGTCATGTCTTCATTCATGGCCAGCCTCTGTCGTCCTTCCCCAGCGGTCCCCTCCTCTCCCTACTTCTCCAGCTCCGAGCTGGAGAAGGAGATGATTACCTCCTCAGACGCGCCCCCCGAGGGCCGTGGGCGCCATACCGCCCGCGGGCCCGCCGCCCTCGGAGGCCCAGGCCCGCCGCCCGCCGCAGCTGCCGCCGCCCGCCGCCCGCCGCCGGCCGCCCGCAGCGATCGCCGTCGCCGCGCGAGGAGGATCCAGGCGCGCTCCGGGAGGCTCAAGGAGGAGGAGAAGGTGCCCCCAGACCTTTACCCCCTCGCCCGCCTTCCCCCTTTTTTGGGGGGCCTCCTGGGAGGCCCTCGTCGCCACCGCCGGATTCGCCTCGAAATGCTGGGCAGAGCGCGCCCCAGGAGAGGTCCGGGGAGTAGCGGTATCGGTACCTTTTGGCTTCCCCAAAGGCGTGTCTCCCAGAGCCCCTCGAGTCAAGGCAAACATCATGACGGGTTCTTTCTCGCAATGCTTGGCCTCCGGCGGCCTTCGCGGGGCCCTTCGGGGCCGTGAAGACACGATTCCCGATGAAAAGCCGTGTCCCGGGAAATTGGTTCGGGCTTCTGGGGGTCGCGTCATGAAAAATCATGACGTCGGTGGTTTGGGATTTTGGGATTCCCAAGATCCCAATCTGATCTAAGCGTTTTCCTACCCCATGAATCGATCTATGCGGGGGAAGGGGGAGGGGGAGGGAAGGCTTCTTACGGCAGGTGGTACCGCTTAATCTGGCTTTGCCCCGCTTCGTGAGGCTCCATTCCGTTTCACCCTGCTCAATCCCAGGCTCAGTGGCCTTGCGTTCCGGCTTCATAGCCCTTCTCTCTACTGCCGAAGGCCTCCCATCGGGCGGGGCCAGGACGAGGATGATGCCGTTCCAGAGCGTTCGGAATGTTCCGGAACGCTCTGAGAAGGCCGCGGCGCCCGAGACGTCCCCCAGAGCCGCCGGATCTCGGAGATCCTCCGCATACCTCTGCTCACCCGAGTTTGCCCTCGCCCCTGGCTTCGGCTGCAGTCGCCTCCCGCCGCCCCCGCTGCGCCAGCGGCCCCGGGCGTGGCCTCCGCCCGCTCCGCCGGGGGGGGGGGGGGGGGGGCGACCTCCGCGGTGGTGGGGCCGGCCCCGCCGGGCCGCGCCGCTGCAGGGTCTTCCGTGGCCCTTCGGCTCGCTCTCGGCGCGGGGCGGCCCCGGCCGCGGCCTCGGGCCCCCGGGCGTCGCGGGCGGGCGGCTCGCTGCGTCGCCCGCGCGCCCGTGGAGCGGTCGTGTGCGGCGGCGGGCCCGGCACGTGGACGCCGCCCTTGGCCCTCGGCATCGCTCGGACGCGTGTGCACTTGTCTTTCGGCGAGGGCCATCGAGGAGCATCCTTGATCATTTGGTGAAAAAAACACGCGCGAAACCGAAAAAAGGCGAGGACCATCGAGGAGCATCCTTGACCATCTGGTGGAAAAAACACGCGCGGAACAGAAAAAAAAGCACAGGGAATGGGCGTCCGAGCGATGGCCAGAGGGCGCCTTTCGCTGATGATGTGCCCGCCTGCTCCAACCCTGGGCACCAGAGCGAATGCCGAGCGCCACGGAGGTGCCGAGAAACTGGTCGGGCCCCGGGAGGCGATAGCCGCTCGGCATTTCGCCAGCGCTTCGGGCAGGCGTGCGCCGTGCTGGCTTGGGCGGCTCGGTCGGGGAGGCAGCGTGCACGGACGCTGGGCCCGGGAGATGGGCTCGGCAGGGGCGGCGTCGAGGTGTAGATCTCGCCGCCCATGCGTGTGCTGCTCGAAGGATTGCAAAAAAAACAAGGATTGCAAAAAGGATTGCAAAAAAACCCTTCGTCCAAGGGTTTTTTTGCAATCCTTTGTCCAAGGGTTTTTTTTTGCAATCCTTCGTTCAAGGGTTTTTGTTGCAATCCTGGGTTTTTTTGCAATCCTTCTTGCAATCCTTCGTCCCAGCCTCAGCCTCAGTTCCCCCCTCGTCCGGACAGCGCCGCGGCGGGAGGTGCTCGGCAGTTCCCGGACGCTCGGGGCGCTCGCGAGGGCTCCTGGGCGGGAGCACTTCCGCAGGAGCCCCCAGGATCCTGCGGATACACCCGTGGTCTCCTCCGTCCTCAGCGGGCCCCGGAAGCGGCAGGGCTGTTTTTCCACCGTTTCCGAAAAAGTGCCCCGTGAAAATGGAAACGGCAAAAACACGGCGACCGGAAACGGCAATAAGAACGGCTCCAGGATTGGAACTGATGCGGGAACCCGTAAAAGAACGGCGACGGAACCGGTAAAACAACGGCGTCGGAACTGGCAACAAAAACGGCAAAACGGAACCGGTAAAAAACGGCCTTGCTGTTTCCAGGGCCCACTAATCCTCCGTCCTCCCTCCTTCGTGGCGGCGACGGCGGCGGCGACGGATGATGACGCCACGGAGGCGGCGAGGACGTTTCCCCCCCCCCCCTTGGAGGGCCCGAGCGCCCTGCTCGCGGGGTCCGCCGTGCCGAAAGAGGCGGACGAGACCTTCCTCGATACCACCCTGCCGAGGGGGGCAGCCGACGCCAAGGCAGCTGCCAGGGGCCCTCCTCATCCTCCTGCTCCTTCTCCGCCACCTCCTGCCCCCCCTCCCCCTCCTCCACCCCTTTTTCTCATGAGTAACTCGTCCCTGTCGCACCCCCAGACGTGTCGGTAGGGCGGCCCGGGCGTTTCGCCTGAGATTTATTCGCCATGTTTGACTTCGAAGCTCGAAGGTAATGGAAGGAGGGCTGCTGGTTTTCAAAATGTAGCTCTCGCTATAGCGCAGCGCACATTCGCTTTGAAAGTTTGCATCCGCTTCAAGGATGGAGGGCAGTTTCTTTCCAACATGTGGCTCTCGCTTCAGCGCCGCGCACATTCGTCTTAAACGCTCGCCGCAGTTTCAAGGACTCATAGGGCTGAAGTCCCAGGAATACTGGTTCGGCACGACTTAGATTTGTCAGGATGCAACAGCTATGTTGATTCGTGGCGTTGAACACCCAGAAATTTCCTTTCGGGCGCGATTGAAGGTTTTCGGACTTACGTGTATCACTGGGGCCTGTCCCGCAATAGCACTACATTAATTATGTTGCACAGCTGTGCTCTAGAGCTCGGACATTTTTATTTTCGTCGTTCGTCGTGTCGTTCGTCCCCCTCGCCCCCCCCCTGTCCACGCTTCCCAGGGTAGCCCCCCTGGGCCACGGAACCCTTTATTTTCGTCGTTCGTCGTGTCGTTCGTCCCCCTCGCCCCAGTCAGAATCCAGGTAGATTGCAGGCATGTGTTAGCAGCAGATAGAGTAGCAGACAGAAGCAATCCGTGCTATAGACGTCTTGGGTTAAGCTAACCGAAAACCAGACTTTGGTAGCGGAGCTACCGGTCCTCGGACCCGTAGTTCCTTTCGATATCGTAAAGCTCACTTTACGATTTTTCAGGTACTCTACGTATTTCGTGGATTGTTCATCTCTTGTTCGCAGGATATCGAGGAGTTCAGCGACTCCACAGTTCACACATACGAACATATCTTCGAGCAGCAGTACCGCGAGGGCTCCTCCGAGCAGCTCGCGAAGGTCAGCGACTCGTCGTTGACAAGCACCCCGTCGAGTATATCAAGATCTACAAGTACGACATCAGCCATACACTATGGCCGTGATGTTGCTGTGTACCTAACTGGCCCCCAGGAAAACCCACAGCAAACAGACATCCGCAACAACAGAAACAATCAAATTACATCACAAGGCCCAACAACAAAAACAATCAAACAAACAATCAACATAAAAAAACACAATCAATACGAAAGCCGATTTTAATTAGAGAAAAATCGCGTCCATCACATCGATTGCACCACCTATCTCGTGCGCCACATTGCTTACACCACTTATTTTACAACGCATATATGGATATTGTAGATCCCACCTTGCAGCGAGAACAGGATGAACACTTGATCAGGATTTTCGAGTTCCCGTCGACGGTCAGGATGAGTCAGCGCGGTGCGACGTGCCCCAATAGCAATACGTTCCCGAGAGAATTGCCAGAGTTGACCTTGGCCCGACTTGCTATCCCTCAGGATCCTAAGTGGCAGGCGGTTTCAGGCCGACGCCGTTCCTTGAAGGGGGGGGGCGCGAGTCTCGTGTATCTCTCATAATATATGCGTGTGCCATAATACACACAACCCTCAATGCCATATCCTCCTGCAGAGGTTGTCTGTTCCTTCACCGCCTGCCCCCTCCTCCCCCCATCCGTCTCATCCTCTTGTTCGGATGCTACTTGTGCGCGCGAAACGGCAGATGGATGCCGAGAGGATGTCGCTTGTGCCTCCCGAGGGGGTTGCGTCCTTGCCACTTGTGCATCCCGAGGGGATTGCATCCTTGCCACTGGGCGCCACGTGGGCGCATTCCGCGTCATTGCGTCATCCTTTCTAGCAACATTGCATCCTTGCCGCCTGCCCCCCTGCAAGGGGGTTGCATCCTTACCGCCATCGCCCATTGGTTTCGGCTCTCGCAGGGGTAGCACTGGGCCCGAGCCCCTCATGCCCAAACCAAACTCATCAGGGGAAGCGGGGTGGATTCCTGTATTCATTGTCCGAGTGTACTTGGGTGCCTCGACCGAACATGCCCCCCCAAGAGGGCGAGCGACAACGGCTGGTCAACGAGCAGTGGGGGACAGAACCAACAAAAACAACAACCTGTGTTCGAACGTCCACCTCGAAAGGGCGGGGGGGGGTAGGATGTCGACGTGCGCAGCGGCCGTTGAGACGGCGAGAGCAGGGTGCTGGTGGAGGAGGAGGCAGGGGGAACCCAACGATAAAAAGGAGGTAGGGGGGGGGGGGACGAAGAGTATTTGCGAACGCCTGAAAAAAGAAGGAATGGGAGGAGGAGAAGGAGGAGGAGGGTGACGATAAGGAGGAGAAGGAAGAGGGCAAAGGGGAGGAACTGTAATATGAAGACACATACGGGAGGATGATGAGGAGGAAGAGGAGGACCCACGGGAGGAGGAGGGAGGAGGAGCGCAGGGATGATGATGAGGGGGAGGGGGGGGCAAGTGGCTGAGGAGGGTGAGCAAGGATGATGAGTGGGACGACGTGTAAAACATACATGGCGGGACGGGGGCAACGATGAGCAGGTTGCACATCAAAGCGAGCCCTGGCCTTTGAAAAAGAACCGCCCTCCGTCCACGCATTTGTTGCTCCGTGCATAGACCCATTGAGCGTTCCCCGCGGCGTTGATGATTGGATGCCTCATTGGCAGGGAAACGATGCATCGCTCGATAAGGTGTGCGGTTGTTTCAGTCTCCACGTCATCTTCCGTAACCATTTTGGCTCAAACCTTTCTTGCAACCACGCTTCGGTGTCTGTTCTGCCCCAGCTCGTCCAATCTCCGCCACGCCTCCCCGCGCACGTGGCGCCTCGGCGCCGATGTCAGGGCGAGGTGGCGGCCGTGGACGGGTGGCGAAACGGCCGGCCTCGAAGGAGTTGTTGAGGCCAGGAGCGTTGCCGCGGCAGCCTCGGCCAGATGATTGTGTTTCCGTCATGCGGGCTGTGTCGTCGGCGCCAGGTCTCGGATCGTGGCCACTGGCGACGTACTTCCACACCCTCTCGAGCAGCTTGCTTGCGGTGGACGACCACCAGCCCCTGAGCACTGCGATTGGGCGTGTTGCGAAATTGTGTCTTACTTCGGTGAACCGAAGTCGAGTGACGTCCAAGACGTCGGTTGCTCAGGATGCATCTGTTCCGCGGGGGACCGTCGGGCGAGATCTTACGATGTTGGCCAGCTCGATCCTGCATGCAGACCGCCAGGCCCGCCACGTGCTCGAGTGCAACATTGTGTCGACGTGTCGCCCTGAAGACCTTCTGGAGTATGTTGACTACAGCAGGTCGGACGAGACGCCGATCAAGATCACCCGCAAGGTCGCCTACTCTAAGCGACCTTCTGTTCCTGGGGCTGCCATTGTTCAGCACGCTTCGCCTGGGGTCCAGCTTGTTCATGCCACAGCGACTCCATTTGTCAAGCATCGCCGTGGCGTGTTCCCCACGAAGGTACTGCAGAGCGAACAGAGGTTCGGAATGATATTCAAGCACGGCGGCGCCACCTTTAGCATTACGGGTTCTTCGTTGACGATACCACAGATTGTCGACCGAACAACTGCTGAATGCCTCTTGGCGGCGGAACTTGACAGAACTTGCGTAAGCGATCACGCCAGCAAGTTCATGACAAAGTCCAGGTGCGTCACCCACGATCGTCATCCAGCCAATGACAGGTCTGAGCGGGCACTCATGAGGAAACGCAGGGGGTGGACACTGAGCCGAAACAAATGCGAGCTTCACATCATCATCGTGGGTATGAAACACGCGTTTCGGCATTTTGAATCACTGATCTCGTCACACATCCACCTGTGCCTCTGCCTCAACGAGGGCACCAACATGCTCAGGTTTTCGAGGATACTTGTCGACAAGGTGAAGTCTATGCTGGATGTGCGTTTCGGCAGGCCACCAGCGTCAGCCATCGCCTTCAAGAGGCACGTGGCTGCGCTGTGCCTGTCCAACGTATCCCGCGAGGCCGCCAAGCTGCTGTACTGCCATACGCTGCCCAATGGTGATTGGAGAGACCGTTCGAGAATATCTATATATGTCCCTGCTGGGAGTGAATATGACAAAGCTGGGCTGGCTGAGTTCGTGGGCAATGGCCTTGCTCAGTTGTTCGCGTCCGTCGCCCTGCCAATGTATGGGCGGCACAGGCTCGCTGGCAGCCGCGAAGCCATCGGCATCTTCGCCATGATGGAGGCTATTCATGGGTTGACATCAGCATGTTTCCCGATCTTTGCAGCGATGAATCGCATCGGCCGTCGGGCAGCTGGTCACGTCGGCGCGGCTGGCGAAGCAGCTGAGCCAGGCCACCCCGACCACGTTCATGGACCTGGTGCTGATGAGCCTGCAGATGGCGACGGGGGCGGCGCGGCTGCTGCGGCCCCAGCTGCCGCGGCTGAGGGCGTTGGCGCCCCAGCGCCCGCCGCCGCCGCCATTGTGCCGTTCGTTGCAGGGATTCCAGACCCAGCGGCGCCCCCTCCGAATGCCAGGCAGCCCGACGACGAGGCCAAGAGGAGGCGAGCCGAGTTCAGCAACTCGATTCGCACTGTCCTTGAGCTCATTGAGGACAATGGATATTGGGGGGTGGAGGCGTTGATTTTCAGGCAGTGCATGGAGCCGTACCATCGGCTGTTGCAGAGGCACATCGACAGGGCGAGCCAATACAAGGACCTCCAGTTTCTCACTCAAGAGGCAAAGTTTCTTCTCGGGCCACGAGGCGAAGCTGCTGACGGACCTGCTAAATTGGAATACATACCTGTTGAATGTGCGTTGCTCCTCAATGAGATAGAGTTTTTCAGAGATGTCAGGCTCCTTCGTGCCCACGACAGTCTGTGGGCCAATATCCTCCCCGCGGGCTGTCATTCTCGGAAGTTCAGAGCCCTCGTGTTCAAGGCTCTCGTCTCGTCGGAGTGCATGGTGCAGCAAACGTTGGCTCATGAGCACAAGCAGTATCCAACGAGGGTCTTCATCG